GGCGCTTTGGGAAAATAGTTTACAAAAAAACACCAGCTCCAGATCTATCTTGTATCTGAGATCCGCCGGTATATACATGTAGCCAGTCGCTTTCCGGGTATTTTTCGCAGATCATTTGCAACGCAGTTGCCCTCAGCTCTGCCTCGATACTGTCTTTTTTCCTTAAGTTCCCTGCAGTCAAGTTGTTTTCGATGTCTACATATTCAAGTGGATTGATAATTTTATATGTGCTTTCAGTAGGAATGTTAGCATCGAGATCTTGAAGTGTGTTTTGACATATTTCTACTGGTGAAACTTGAGTTTTGAGAGTACTGGGTTCCTCATTTGGAATCCACTCTGCTCTGTGTGAGGTCAACATTTTGATGTAACTTCTGACTGCCTGCTTTTGAATTTCAATGTTGATGGAAGGGTTGGAAATGTACAGTTGCATTGCTGCGACTGGGATAGTTTTCACTGCTCCAATGATAACCCTAAGGGCTTTATTTTGCGCTTTTTCTAGTTTGTCAATACTACTCTTTGCCGTAGAAATCAAGACCTTGCTACCATATTTGATTATAGGTTTAACATATGTGTTATACGTTGTATTCAGGGTTGCTTGATTGCATCCCCATTTGGCTCCTGCAAGTCTTTTCATCATTGATATTCTGCCTTCCACTTTTTCTGCAGTGACTTTCACGTGATCAATGAAGTTTAATTTGTTATCTAGTGTTACGCCTAGATATTTTGTACAATCACTCCTACTTAGCGTAGCATCATCTATTTTCAATTCAAAATCTATCTTAATTTTTTGGAGGGAAAAGAATNTTATTTAAAAGCATATTATTATCAATGCACCAAGTTTGTAGTATTTTCAATGTTTCATTCATTGTGCTCTCGAGGAAATGTTTCTGATCTTGATATTTTCTGGAGTTAGTTGCCTCGATTGAAATGACTAGATCATCAGCAAACATGGAGACATTAACCCTGGGAATTTCTTTTAAAATTGTTATAAGGTCATTGATATATATGTTGAAGAGAGAGCAACTGCAAACTGCTCCTTGAGGTAAGCCAATTTTACTTTGCCAGAATTGAGATTCCGTGTCATTCCGTATGGTTCTTACCCATCTTTGGGTTAAAA